AATAAGATTATATAATTTTACAATTTATGCCCGAAAGTGTGTTTTCATGCTTAGTTAGAGGTTTGAGTGTTGTTGGAAGAGTGGGAGACTGGGTTTCCATATCATAACAACGATCATTGAGCAAATACACGTCATTAAATAGTCGAAAAATGATATCGTAAATAGAAAATTATATGAATAGCGGGACTAGAAAACCAGGTGATCGTGTATTTCCTACATACAAGGATTAAGGTATCTTAGTGCTAAGATACAACACTTGAATTTTAAAGCACAATTTATCATTTCAGTATAAAATCACAAGGAAAATAGTATGATGAAATTTGTTGCCACAAATAGTGAGTGCATTACACACATCGCAGGTGTGCAACACTCTGCGAATGAAGAATACCTCCCTGCTAGCCAAATTCCACTTGATAGACTGCTCGTCACCAGTGTTGTCTAGTAACAAAAGAATTGTGCCCCTACTTTCCACATTTTATCCTGGCCTGTACAAAAGTTTTATTTTTCCTAAAGTCGTACAAAGTATTTGACAGTACATTTATGTCACGGAGAGGACCAGCAGAAACTTATCGAATAGTTTAAACCCTCGAGAGCCATATTACCTTGGATTTTCTTGACGTGGAGATAATTTAAAGGCGATTCTTAGACTGTCTGATTTTTGCCGTTTCATCGTGTCGTCTTTCCGCCCCGAAAAGACGAGATTTAGAAACCTTTAACTCTCATTGTTTCGCCTTTTCGGAAAGGACGAGAATTAAGGTTTGTTGAAGAAAGAACGAGAATTTCGTTTTGTTCGTTCAAGTCTTTTCGGAGTTAACAGGTGAAAGACAAGAATTAAGGTGGTTTTTTTCATCTTTACGGGGTGTACAGACGAAAGACAAAAATTAAGGGTTGTTTATTTTCATCTTTACGGGGGTGCACAGACGAAAGACAAGAATTAAGGTTAGTTTATTTTCATCTTTACGGGGGTGTACAGACGAAAGACAAGAATTAAGGTGTGTTTATTTTCATCTTGACGGGGGGTGTACAGACGAAAGACAAGAATTACGGTTTGTTTATTTTCATCTTTACGGGGGTGTACAGACGAAAGACAAGAATTAAGGTTGGTTTATTTTCATCTTTACGGGGGGGGTACAGACGAATGGACGATAACTTCGGTTTATTCGTTCTCTTCTTTTCGGGCGTAAAGACGAAACAATGAAAAATTAAGTTTGCTAATTTTCGTCTTTTCGGGAAGAAAAGATAAAACAACGAAATGGCATATATCAGCCACCGTAGTTTTACGTAAAAGCTGTTTAATTGTAGTGATAGAACACAAAACTTGTTCCTGTATATTTTACATTTTCCGTATATTGTTAATGTAAAGAAATGCTACGCAAGCAGGCAGTAATTAAAAATTAGAAGGTATGACTGATTTTGACAAGATAATTTTGCCATTGGTTATTATTAATGATATTGAGAATATATCATTGATTATGGGCTTTTCTGCATTTATCATATTTTGCCAGAGAGAAATTGGATACGTTCAACCTGACATATTTCATAATTGTGATAGGTATCAACATCGAGCTCGGACACAGTGTGGAGGTGTCAGTTTTGGTATTGACCAATCAGAACGTTTCGTTCTATTCGCTGTATTCAAAGCTGCATATTTTTTAGTTCGGATGCCGACGAAGCAACAGTAGAAGACTATATATTGGCGACGTCGTTTTGGTACAAATTCTTTGCTTCGCACAATAAGGTATTAACTTACACAAACAATTGGTAGCATTCTACAAGAAAATAGTATGGAACAGTTGAAGAAAAAGGTAGAACTGTGATGAACAGCCAATTCAAAATGGTGCATAATCTTGTTTTCAAGCGTGACATCATCAGAAATATTGCTCTAAAGATTACGTTATTTTTGGTGCAGTAACACAGAGACGTATATAATATATGGCTTTATACGTCTCTGAGTAACATTTTCATTAAAGTGGATATTTCAAAAATACAATAGATAGGAAAATGTTATGTTTGTCCAGTTATTTCAATTGCATGGTAAAATAAACATATTATGCCTCACTCACGTGAAAAATATATATAAATATTCTGCCATACGCGAGATCTATAAAAAAAATCTTGTTAAAATACAGATGTTAATTTATCACCTAAAGCCGGATGTGATAAATCATTAACATCTGTGTTTTAATCAGATTGGATGCATACGGTATTCAACTGTAACCCATTAAATATAAACCATATATCTGAGCAGTGCATTTCAAAATTCAATTAGGAGTCGAAGTCTACACCCAGTAGGGAAACCGTTACATCACCTTTTACAACCATCGTTCCAATATTTGAAAGATCTTACTTTCCGTAAGACTTAAAGCTTGTCGTATTGCTATGACCCTGGTTGTTGTGAGGACGAATATCCCGATAAAAAACTGAATAAATGAAATAAAATATGTCCGAGTTGGCTTTCCTATCGTTTTCACGAAACATAGATATAAAATTAATAAGAATTTTGATTTCAAGGACTTTATCCTAGTCAGTGAAGCTGACTAATTGCAATATTAGAAAAGCCCTCTCCACAATACATTTAGATAAGAGAAAAGGCATAATATTGATCACAATGAATATCGTTTTATATATCACTGATATAAGAAAGACTTACTGCGAAATAACTACACAACAGAACGTAAAATGCGAATAGTGTAATTCACTTTACAAGTAAACTTTTCGGTGGATTCGATGTAAAAAGGCACATTTTTTAAATGATATAGCGTTGTGTTTTCTGCAGACAGGTTTTCATTTCGTCGGAGGAGTTTTGAGTAAATAACATCCTGATTTTAAGCATATATGATAAAGAGATTGCTCTTTTAATATCATGACGAAGACACGTGATACAGAAATTATAGGGCATTCTCACTGGGATTTCCACAACTTCACTCAGAATTCTCAACAACGTTTACTATCAAAGTGACCTTATATAAAGGACTATATTATACCCCAACTTCGTCGTATGTGAAATATCTTAACTTCCTTTCTTCATTCAAAGCTGTAGAAGGAAGGTGGGTTTCGTTTATCAAATGTTGGGGAAATTGCTTTCTTATTTTTGAAGAAAAATGAAGGTACATGTCGTGTAACTGGGTCTAACCTGTTCACAGAATTTAAAGTTGGTGTAGAATCTATTATTTTAAATGGAAAAGTCATTTTTATCCATATGGGTAGGGATGGCTGGCACTAAGAGACCATTATGAAAAAGGTTTTGTTTTAAACATATTTTGTTGTAATTTAATTATATACAATGGGAGCTGGGCACGAGTTTAAACGACTTATATTAAGCCCTTTCCCTACAATATATTACTACAAATTATCAAGATGGCATATAACATATATATTATTTACATTGGCTTTAATTGAGAGAGAGAGAGAGAGAGAGAGAGAGGTGTGTGTGTGGGGGGGGGGGGGGGGGGGGGGGGGGGGGGAGGAGAGATGAAGAGAGAGATTGGGATTAGTGCAAGAAAATATACTCAAAATCTGTTAGTAAATTGATGGCTGCGTCTGTTTGGCTATTAGGATGTTTTCTTGATATGCCAATTCAAATTCATTACTACCGGTATGGTAGTAGTTGCAAGTTAAATGGAATGAAATCATTTAATAGGTACTGAGACTGTTTGTTTTATCTTGGAAAAAAACCGCAGTTTTCTCTCATTTATTTTTACTGATATGAGCTAGGGTTTCACAAGCATAACTGTATAAGGGTACCTTGTTATAACGTGTAACTTGAACATGTCTATATAAAATAAACAATTTACTATTTACTATTAGGATATCCACGGATTCTTTTTGAATATCACCGAGCGTAACTGTGTTTCCGAAGTTTTACCTATTTCAAATTGTCTAGCGGAAAGGGAAACCGTTTATTTTAAGATGGGTTCTTTTAATTAATCTCAATCTTCGTTGAACAGAGCGAGTTAAATATTGCGTCTGTTGACTTATTATTTCAAGAAATGGATGATATTGTTTTCTCCAGATGTGTTATATTTCATTTTTCCAAACTCCGCTAAGCAGACCGAGGTAAATGATTTACAACCGCTCGAGCGGAGCGAGACAAAGATCTCAGTTGGTGTGTGTGTGTGTTGGAGTTAGAGGTATTTTCCAAGTTGACGAGAAGAGTAAAAAAGAAAATCTGTTTCAAAATTTCTTTATTTCAATTTTTGCGGAGCGAGAAAAGGTTGTGTCTAAGAATGATCGAGTCGCTATTTTCCGCAATGACTGGAGGAGCGAGGCGAAGATTATTTCAAGTTCCAAATAGTTTCCAACAAAGAGACGTCGGGAAAGTATTTTTATCATATGTTTTGACGGAGGAGAGGACTTTATTAAGTTGTAATAACTTGTTGTCCAATCCATTTGTATATTAGTACAATTAAATATGTTTAAACTGAACTTTTTTTTTCAAAAGCGAAAAAAGTCGGTTTAAAGATAAAATGTTGATAAATTATTGAATTATAGGCTTGTCTAGAAATGCGCAAAAATAAAGGGGCGGCTGTTCATGGGTCGAGTTCAGTAAAGCGTTTTTTTTTCTAAATAACTTTGCGATACTCCCCAACCTTTAACACGAACTCTGGATCCGCGCCACATATACATCGCGTAAGTTGATTGTGTTTTTTTGTAATGCAAAAAAAATGAAAAGGTAGATAAAAAGTGTTTTGGTATGTTTTGTGCGTGTTTTTATGTTTTATTTATCAATTATTCACCTCCGAAATGTTTCATCATTGTAATATAACATTATATCTTTAATTAAGATCCATACTATCAGGTAAATATTCTACATTATATTATGAAAAAGCACGAAGTCGCATAAATATGACATGTCAGGCGTTACATGCATTTGGCGGGAAATTGCATGCAGTCGAGTGTGTACCTTTTTTTTAACGTCTTCAAAACAGAAAAGCGTCCCTGTACAAAACAAAGAAATATGCTTAAGTATCATATTTTGTGAAACAGATAGATGTCGCCGAGAAAAGCATAAATAAACTAAACTGAAATATAGCCTGGATGCATTATAAACAGGCCAAAATATCCCAAGTTTCATTACCACGTGGAGTTCTTTCAGCTCATAAATTTACACTTTGGTCGCCCATTGATTGATTATAGGGGAGACAGTTTTTTTGTCATTCAAATAAAAACCATCATTGGCTTTGTTTCTTTAAGACAAATGTGCAATTTCGGATTTAATTGAAGTAAAGGAAAGTACTTCACCAAATGCGTTATAATATACCACGCGATGCATCTTAAAAATATTATTTTGGGTTCATTATGGTGTATCTTATATCTCAATTTACCTCTTTACACAATGGACTCTCCGAAAATGGTATTACTACGCACTATCCTCTCGCAGTACATCCCTTCTTTTTTTCTACATGATATATAGTACATCACAATTACGTAAAATTTGAACCGTGAACAGTAAAACTTACTAGTGACATTTGTATAGGCAATGTTTATTATGTCTTTCAGAGCCGCCAATAATGTTTAGGGTGTATGTCGGTAATTTGAACCCGGAGGTCGATGAAGGAACGCTGCGTGGCCTGTTCGAAGAACGAGGAGTACAGACAGGCAACATATTGGTGAAGAGAAAATACGCGTTTGTCGACTGTCCAGACCAGGAAAACGTCGATAGGGCCATCGAAAGTTTAAACGGTTTGTCTTTTATCGTTTATGTGCTCGTTGTTGAAATACATACATTTCTTCCTTGTCTAACATACAAAATACCAACGTGCCGTTGTGAAAGCACATGGTTATCGTATTCAAAATGGCCGGTGAATGGATCAACTACACCGGTATCATTGGCTATTGCTAGCAAAATAATGATGCAACTAATTGTGCAACACACGGGATATTTTGGGCAGTGTTTTTTTGTAACTCCGAACTGAATATGCAATAGTTTTTATCGAGGAGTTAAAACCGATTACATGCGTTAATGGTGTCCAATGATCACGCCCCTGCATTACTGGTGGAATGTACCGACAAAAGATGCTTGTTTGACCTCGAAGATTTCGAAGGAATACGTTTCAGACGACTCGTTTTTTCCTTTGCATCCAGTGTATTTGTATGTTAATTACAAACTGACAACACAATTTTGTGTTCGAGAGTGGCATTTCCTTTATTTCTTCGCGTATCGAGGGCCCATTGTGGATGCGTTACTCGATACGGGAGAAAGAAAACCATGCTTTCGTCCGAGATGAATGAAATATTAACTTACCTCGTTTTGAATATGGGTCAAAGGAAATAAACAATGCTACTGACACGTGTGTATTTTTTCGACGATAGTTTGCACATGACTAGCACGAATTATGTTAACACACTGTTTAAAACAAAACTCCTGTGTATAATTATATTTGCATAATTAATAATATGCATGTAAATGGGTCATGCTTGTATTGCGTGAAAATGACAGTTAACCTCGGTCAGTAATCGCAATGACAAAGGTTGGAATCATTAAATTTCTGAACTTTGCAGAAAATAAGCATATTTAAACAATTTCTTAAAACTAAGTTGTTTATCTATTTGATGTCTTTTGTGATCAACATAATAATAATGTCTTCCAGAAAGATAAAAAAAATTAGCTGAACAGAGGTGCCGCGGACATATAGTCGGCTAATGTGCACCGTTATCACTCGATCAACAGATTGTATTGGACTCGTTTTCTATTTAAAACAATATAAGTTTGGCTACTAGAAATTCAGACTGTTTTCCCATCACTCTGAAATGTGTTGTTTTATAATTGATATAAATTTTTCGAGTAATTTGCATTAGTTTACGACTCTACATGACAACATATTAATAATTGCATTTATATCTTCAGGATACAGTTTAATGGGCTCCAACATGCAGGTGGAACCATCAATGTCCAGACGAAGGTGTGTAAATATCTATAAAACTACTATGTTCAATTATTTTAATTGCCATCTTTTTAGTTTAAAGTGAGATCTGGGTGAATTGGAACTAATGCATAAAATACTGAATAGTTTTGGCAGACTTGTATGGTTATTTCAATGACAAACAAACAAAATTAACATTGTCAGTAACTTTTTCAATATGAATTAATTTAAGCAGGGCATTTTTAGCTCTCTTGGTAGGGCTGCAACAATATATTAACATGACAATATATACAACTGGAAATAGTCTTGGTCCCCAATGGGTATGACTTGGAAAAGTTTCAAACAATTCATATCTTTCAAAGTGCATGCCAAGCTGGAGCTGTCAATCACAGATTTGAGTAGACTAAATTCAGAAAAAATCCTGAAAATCCTGTTGCTGAATTGTGTCTGACCTTCAAATAAATTGTGCATCTTGCCATATTCAAAATATCGCGATATATCGTTGCACAATATATCATTGCAGCCCTATCTCTTACCATTGTTGAATAATCAAAATATGCAAGATTAATTCACACCTTGGTTTCCCGCAGAAGGTCCAACAAGCTACAAGTCAAAAACCTGCCACAACTATCCAGGGATGAGTTAGAGAGTTTTCTTGGAAGCTTCGCCAATTTGGAGAAGGTTGAGCAAGGTTTGTACCAGATCTGAAATATGAAAACATTGAAATGAGACATTGTGGGGTGAAATTATTTTGAAACGAGATTTTTTGACTAAACATGCTTGGCCTAGTTCTTTTTCATGCAGGGATGTAAAAAAAATATTCAGAACACTTGCCCGAACAAGTAGACCTTAGAAATCTACTTGTCCGAAAATATGTTCTCCTTACCCCATATAAAATGCATATTATACATGTACAGACAGAAAACAAGATTTTTCATGGAACATTTTTTTCTCCCTATTTGCAATTATTATAATATAAATAAATTAATTACTATTTAATAGCAGTGATGGATGGTTTTATCTTTCTTTTTTCTTTTATTACTCTTTTAATTCCTGAAGTCCTGGTTTGTCCGGGTTTAACTTTTTAAGTCGCGCAAATGCAACTTCCTGTTTGAAAAACGAAGAATGAAGTAGTTTTTCATGAATTTCAGTTTGTTTCATAATTGTTCAAATGTTTTCCACTAAAGGACGGCCAGTTAAGTTAAATATTTATTTGGTGAAACGGAGAAACACATGCAAAAAGCATGTTTTATATACTATTCTAATGCACTTGCTAGTGCTAAAACTGGTTGTGTTGGGTAAGAGGATTTTGTGACATGTCCAAAGTTTAGATTTTCTGTGTGACTGGCCTCAAATTTATATGCAATGCTTGTGATTATTATTTTTTGTCATCCAAATACTCCATTGTTGAGACTAGGCATGGACAATTTTGAAGAATTTAACATTCTTTTTATTGGAAAAAGACGATTACAATGTACTTTAATCAATTTGTATATTTATCTTTGCAGCTGGAGCTGAAGGCCTGGTCTATGTACAGTACAGCAATGCGGATGAAGCACAAACGTGAGCAGACAGATTTCGTTGTCATTGTGTTTGCTCCACGTTACAAAGCCCTCTCTTGAAATGAAATTGAAGATGTTAATGCTACTCGAAGAAATAATTAAGTTTTGCATCAATTATTTCACTGACCCGTTTCAGAAGTATTTTCTGCCAAATTGATTGTGAATTGCTATTGATTGTAATGGATGACCTAAATTTTATTGAAAGTAGGATAGGACTGGCTGGAAACATTGATGCTGTACCAACCAATTGGTCTTGTTTACAATTTTGAAAGGTAGAATACATTTCATTTTGTGTTAAATTTCCTTATAAACTACAGGTGGCACATTTATTAAAAAAAATTCACAAAAACCTCTACATTGATGATGCTGAATGTTGACTCTATTTTGTCTGTCTGCAGAGCATACAATCACATCAATGGATATGATTGGAGTGGAATATTATTAAAAGTAAGTGATTAAACTATTTCAAATTTCTGCAAATATTGTGATAACCATAGAATATAACAGGACACATTAGAAGAGCTGGTTGATGTATAATTTAGAATATTTCATAATGCTGCTGTAATAAATAGGAAAAGGGCTATTCCAGCAAAACCTTGTTCTTAGTATATGGCCCCAGTACAATATTTTTATCACCTATATGTTAAGTCAATGGTGGTAGACCATACAATTTATTTGATGATTTCTTACCTAGAAGTAATAGGCAGGAAACACTACCATATTATGGCTATGGTATTTATTGAAGTGATTTATTTTGGGAGTCTTGCAGGGATTTATCCAGCGTTTAGAAGTTACTACTCTTTCATCTACATGTACAGAATTATGGGCTAAAACTTGACTGAATGCTTTGTTTTGATGAAAATATTATAATGGGGGAAAAATTAAGATATGAGAAGAGATACTTTTATCTTGGTGCCAATGGAAATGTGTTATATTGGCTTTCACAAACAATAATTGCATGAAAAATGTCTGGTGTGTATTAAAATATTTCCGAAGTTGAATAGGAAAAGGGGAATAAAGGTAAAAAAAAAAAGCTTTGATAAATCTCTGTTTTGGTAGTAGATTTGTTCAGGCATAGCCTGAAATTAGCAAAATTTGTTGTGAATTATGTCATGAGATTAATGAACTCCTTTAATGTTCAGACAAACCTGTACTGGTATATTTTACATGGTGAACTTTCTCATCTTTTTCTGTGTTTAACAAAATATGGTATTTTTTAAGTCAAACAAATTCTTCACATATTTAAAAAATGATTATTTTTTTCAGGCCGACTTTGCCAGTAACAGAACCCGTAAATCAATACGTGAGCCAAATATGTCTAACTCAGGTGGCGGTGGAGGAGGTGGTGGCCCCAACAGCGGTGGCCCAGGCCGTCAAGTGGAGATGCCATTACGGTATTGAAATGCTCAATCAAATGTGGCATAGGACATATTTAACTTAGCATCCCTGCAATCATTACAAACCTAAGCTATGTTAGCAGTGTGTATTCAATGAACAGATTTACTAGAGCTATGCTTAGTGTGAATGGGATTGTTTAAAATTAAGGAGCTCCTTATGGGGATGCCATCAAAACAAATGTATTGGAGAAAATAGTTGTTGAAGCTATTTCGAGTGGGAATTGGAAAGAGATCCCAGAAATGACATAAAAAAGGAAACCAGTGTTTTACTAAAGATTCAGATAACCAGTGACTTGTACACCTCTTTTCTTGAATATAGTATCCAGATTATAAATAATAACCCTATTTCTGAATATGAAAAATGCCAAGATGTTGAGAGAAAAAAAAGGAAGGATTACTAGCAGGGTTTAGAATTGAGAAAATTTTGATTACTAAGTACATTTTGCCTATCAAAGTATACAAGCAATTGATAAGTGATACAATCAATTTTTTTCCCACCAGAAAATAAATATCGGTTCCTTGAAAGAAAAAAAATGTTGGTCCTGACTGAAAAGTAATATGTATCCCTATATATAGGGTATTTCCAATTTTGAATAACAGTGGATTTTTACAGAAAGGAAATTTAAGATTTGTGATGTTTGACTTTTTGTTTCAGTATACTTGTAGGCAGTGAATTTATTGGTGCCATCATTGGTAAGCAGGGACAGACCATTCACAACATTACCTCACAAACCAAAGCAAGGTAGGTAACTCAAAAACCATTCACAACATAACCTCACAAACCAAAGTCAAATAAAGGGAAAAATACTTTAATTAGATTTTAAGACTTAAAAAATCTCTTGAATATGATCATTGCTTTATTCTGAAATTTGCCTCTAATCAGGAATGCTTTAATTATATTTTAAGACTTAAAAAATCTCTTGAATATGATCATTGCTTAAAATCAGGAATGCTTTTCCTTTACATGGGTTTTGATAGAAAAAGATTTCTGTCTTGCAGTATTGTCTAGCCAACACTAATATGTTTCCCCCAACTTTGGTCCGTGTTGATGGGACAGATTGACAATTTTCCTCACAAATTTGCCCCAGTAATCCAGCTCTACCATAACAATGAATACTGCCTCTTTTGCATGGAAGAACAGTGGCTGGATAATGGATGTTCCATAGTGTTCTGTCATTTCTGTATGGTCTTGTCATTTCAGAGTGGATATCCATCGCAGGGATGGTCAGGCAGTATCAACTGAAACGGTGAGTGGACCGATTATGTATTGATTACCACAAAAATAATTTCTTAACATAAGACTGAATTGTTCAAGGAAAATGTTAAAGTGTAAATGATTTATGTGTTGCGTCACATTGGGTTATTTCTAAAGTAATTGAAAGGTGGGACAAGGAATGTTGCTGTTCGTGAACAACCCCTACCCACTGCTGATCAGTACTTGGTTAATGATGATTGGATAGCTGTGTAAAAAAGAAATACAGAAAATGAACAAGAGTAAAGGATAATCTAGAATATCAAATTTCTCGCACTTGAAAAAGACAAATCCAGGGAATTTTCATGTTTTATATCCGAAGATGCTTAATGAATAGTATTTGGAACTTCACCCAGATCCGTTTCAAACTGTTTCTTATGACTTAGCTTGTGTTTTGTAGCCTATCACAATAAAGGGAAGTCCTGAAAGCAGTTCAGAAGCATGTAAAGAAATGATGACAATTGTTCAAACAGAAGCCCAGAAATACAACAAAGGGTAAATTATGCGACACAATCTTTCCTGCTTTAGCAGGTTCACTATTTTCCTGCCATTAACTAATTATCTCCCCAATGTTGAGGCAATAACCAAAAACTGTTCGATGGTTGAAATAGAGAATACCTCTTGTGGGAGGTTGTTTCAAAAGTTCAACCATTTATGAGTTGGTGAAAGGTAAATGGGACAAATAAACTATAGTTATGCAGGAACTTTTTATCAGATCAAGTAGTAATGTTAAACATATTTGCTGACTTGTTTTAAATTTGAAGTCCATATTTTTCTCTGAAATTCAGCTTTGACAATATTCTTTCAGTGGCTTCTTTCAATTTAATATCATTCAACAGCTCTGGGGCATTTCCATCCTTAAGTGAATTAAGGTTGACTATACAACATTCAAAATATTTGTCTTATAGACATTTCTATGGGATACCAATACTATTATCCTCATGATAGTCAACTTTTGAATAGGGTTGTGTTCACACTCGACATATTCTATGAAGTTTATATTAACTCTAGGGAATTAGCAAAAACAGATACCTCTTTACCTAGAAAACAATACTTCAATGTCTGCTAATATTAGGATTTTGCAGACTCAATTTTATTGCACTTTAGCAGTCAAGTAATTGAATTTTTGCTGTTTTTGCAGGGATTACCCATTCAAAATTCTATGTCCAAATCATTTATGTGGGCGTATCATTGGAAAACAAGGCAACGTCATAAAAAACTTCATGGACAAGACAAACACCCATATAGTTGTATCCAGGTATGTATATGTATAATTACAGGGATAACCAAATATCCTTGTAGTAGTAATGCTAATCTAATGGCTATCAGAAATGGTAGAGTTGATGAATTTTAAAAATGACCATCGGAGAAATTAAGATGAGAAATTATGTGGATTTTATGATGGCAATCTGGGAAATGGAGCCTGGTGGAGAAAATAATGATTGGATGGTTGAATGAACAGTATTACTGTTGTGAGAATAAAACTACCGCCCCAGTCTGATCCAGGCTATCATACATGCCATTGGCTTTGATTTTCTGTGTATTTTGGGAAATCTTTGCTTTTCTTGAATGGGGTAATATTAATTTCCATCTGTGTAATAAGTCAATAATATTTTAAGACCGAGAGAAATTACTCCCCATCACAAATTTGAACAAAGATATGAAAACAATTGAGAGGGATGTTCAAATTGGGGAAACAAAATCAGGATCTCTTTTTGAAAAGACACCAGAAATTTTGTTGAATATTGATCTATGATACTTAAGTGACTGCGAGGATAAACCTTGTATTTCTTCAATAAATGTATGTTTATTGGTACAAATATGTAATGTAGAGATGATTTTTATCTGTAATGTTATAATGGATATTTCTCTAGTGCTTGACATAAACTTTTTCAACTTTTTACTATGTATCTATACGTTTTGTGTGTGGACGTTGTTCCCTATTGCCTCCATGTCTTGATCCTGTGTATCTTGGTAATTCTGTGGCTTAAACATATACCCAGTATATTTCTGCTTTCATTTCACTATCGCTTAAATTTCTCTCTCCATAATGGAAATGGTTTTGTCCATTCAAATTCTGTTGACTTAACCCGACAGTAAGAAACAAATTAACATTATTATCATCTCAAATTTACATTCCTAACAATTAAGGTAGACTAGTGACTATTAAATCAAATGCTTTCATTTCAATATGTATGGAAATTCTGCTTGCTTATAATGTGATGTATGCATACAAAATTCGCTAGTTTCGAGAGAAAAAAAGTGGAATTATTGAAGTGTAACAAAGAAACATTTTTGTCTTACAGTGCTGGAGGTGGCCAGGGGTAAGATTAGATGTGAAGAAATTGCTCATTTGTTTCTTGATTTTTCTCAGTTCCTCTGAAAAACACTAAAAATTCTCAAATCCCCTGTTATGAGTGATATTTTGAAATGAGTTTGAATACCCCTGATAAAAAAAAAGTCATTAATTTTGTAGCCATATTTTCATATAAATGAATGCTGTATTATTCATGAAATAGCGTCATTATGTTCTTTTTGACATTCAAATATTTGTTTCTGATTTTTTTTATTAAAGCTCAAGTTACTGGGTATATGATTTCAGCTATAAATTTCATAAAGAGGCAGTATATGAATTGTTGATGTTTAGTAAATGATGATTGGATAAATGGAACGGTTAAACTGTGGTGACATTACAACTACCGCCCCAGTCTGATACTGCACATCAATAATTTTGTTGTCTTTGCGATCATACTCAAAATTTCAAATAAAACATTTGATAAAGATTGACTGAAATAAATCCCCAACAAATGTTTATATATTTAAAAAAAATCCTGATATATTTGTGAGGTTTGTTGTCCTTGTGACATCTTGTTGCTTTTCAATATGGCATACTTCACTTTGTAGCGTGGCCGATGCAAATAACATGTATGTGGACCGGGTCGTCACTGTCACTGGGTCAGTTGAAAACGCGAGTCAGGCAGAGAGCCTGTTGTCTGACAAAATGAGGAAGTGCTTCGATCAAGACCAACATGGATATATGGTAAAAAGATGCAACAGTCAATTATAAATCCAACATTTGCCCAAAGAAATGTGTCTCTGATAGAAAAAAGATCTGGAACAAAAAATCTACTTAAAAAACCCAGTGAATTTACCAGTCTTGTATTTCCTACTCTGAAGATTTTTTTTAATGTGTTTATTTCAATATTTACTTTTGAATATGTGAAGTTTTACACTTCCTTTATCTCCAACTTGGAAAAGTTTGATTGTATGTATATTGGAAAACTATTTTTCAAGTGATTTATTGTTTCGTAGCCACTAAGTAGCGGAAGCAAGACAAAGTTGTTGCTTTACCGGCAGCGGCATCGTCAACATTAGGTTTTTGCGTTTTAGTTAGTTTCACTGAAAGTATGAATGCTAGACCAACCAAACTTGCACCATAGATATCATCTTGGGTAGTATATCTCAACCCATGCATCAAATGCTGGATGTATCTCACCTTTCATGGTCTATCGACTTTGTCAGCATCTCCGCCAACATTAAGTTTTTGCATTCAAGTTAGTTTCTCTGAAACTTGACATGTGCATTGATGATCAAAGCGGGGCACAAGCGAGACATCAATCTGAATGGCTTGTTTTGATTTTTATGAAAAACAGATCTGTGAAATTAATTTCTGAGAATCGCATACCATAGGGCTAAATATGTTTTTTCAGTTCATGGTTTTTGGGGGGCTTGTACTACTGCAATGAATTTTTGAAAGGTTTCCTCTCTGTCTGTAGAGGCAATGTTGTCGGAACAACTGGTCTCTCAGTTTCTAAATGAGATTTTTTTTTAAAACTATGTACAGGCAATTTAATAACTACAATAAGTGTTGATCTGAAATAAGGATGGAAAATTTCAATATGATTTTGTGTACCTGCAGGGTCAAATCAGCATGTTTGGTGGAATGCCACCCATGGCTCCAGGAATGATGCCAGGCTTCAGCAATTATCAGGCAGTACGGCCACCTTTTGGACACTACCCTCCACCCATGGTAAGGATTCCCAGCATTGCATTTCCTGCTGCATCCATAGAAATATTACAAAATTCATGATAAAATATATGTCCCATACATATAAAAGATTATTGTCTGCCATGGTTAGCCTCCATCTACCGAATAGTAGAAAAAAATTGAGGGTTGACCCCACCCCTTCAATTAGAAAATTATGATGTTATAAATATTGAAATAAAACCTCATTGACCTTTAAAATATTACTTTTGACCTTGAAACCCAATAGCTAGGTTTATTTGTCCTGTTTCCTAAACAAAATGCTTGATATAGTTTTGACATTTCCCAAATATTTACATTTCTTTTGTGAAGTCCTTATTCAAACCTACCAACCAAAAATGTTGTTATAATAAAGCAACAAAAAGAACCATTACACATGACTTGTTTGTTTTGAATTTGAAACCAACTGTAATGTAATGCCAGGTTTGAATTATGAATGTTTTCCGATTGTCATTTGCCACCTGACAGAACTGTCATAACCATAAAAAGCATGATCTTGTCTGCAAAAATGGCTGTTCCACAATCATTTTAGAAGAAAGAAAAATGACCCAAGATTAAGCTTTTAACTATAAAACTTCATCCAGTTGTTGCAAATATATTTGATTTTGTTGATCTACATTGACCCTTTGACCTTATACCCCGTCGCTTAATCAAGTTGCCTGCATCCAGGGATCGACACTAACGGTAGACCGGAGGACCGGGTCCACCAAAATCTTGGACGGTCCACTTAATCTCCAAAGCTGGTAGACCGCCGGTCCACCACATATTACTTGATAAGTGTATATATATTTGAGAATGTTGTTCAGAAATATATTAATAAAGACTTTATTTACTTCGCCAGCGAGCCGTAAAATCCCATCTGGTTAAAAAATGTATCGTATTTTCGTGTTGTTAAACCGCTAAAAGTTGTCGTTATCATTCTTGGACGAGTGAAGTGCGTGAATCCGCTTGCGGTAAGTCGGAATCCTTTCAGCGTTTGAGTCGCT